GCCCAGGGTAAAAATGAATTAGAATTTATAAACCCCATCATTATTACCAGACATATTTTTCAGGTAACTTCTGCAACTCTAGGAGTCTATTGCTAATAGCTAAGGAGGAAAATGTCCCAGGAAGAAAACATTTAAAGTCCAACTAATTTGAATGACCATCCCAAACCAACAGGCAATCTCCATATAAGCGTGTGAGATGGTGTGCCAAGAATGCAACCTGGCATACTGGATGTTGGGCTGGGCCTTGGATCAGGAGACACCTGACTACAAATCTAGCTCGGCCACCTGTTAGGTGTGTGATCCACAGTAAGTTAACTTCTCTGAACTACAATGTCCTCATCTGTAAAATGGGTAGGACTTAGTTCACTGGTTTGTCGTGAGGGTCAAATGAGAAAACCTAAGTAAGGTGATTGCTAAACTTTAAAGAGCTTTTTAAATTGTCAGCTATTGTGTAAAGTGTTTTATAAACTTTAAAGGGCTTTTAAAAAGTCAGCTACCATTATCCTCAGCCACACCAACAACAATCATCTTTAGTTAAAAGGGCATGCATTTAGAAAGCATACTGAAGATCTAGAATGATACTTGAAGAGGCTCTATTCAGGTTAATTTACTATTATTTGGGCAGTTGGATGGTATATAGTGGATAGAGTGGTGGGCCTAGTTGTCTTCCTGACTCATCTTCCTAAGTTCAAATCTTACTAGCTGTGTGACCCTGGGCAAGTCACTTAACCCTGTTTGCCTCAGTCTCCTCAACTGTAAAATGAGCTGGAGATGGAAATGGCAAACCAGTACAATTATCTTTGCCAAGAAAAGCCCAAATGGGGGTCACAAAAAGTTGTTCGTGACTCAACAAAAACAAATCTTTGTGTAAGGCTTTACAATTCACAAAATGCTTTCTTCACACTAATTTTGTTGTGCAAGGAGTGTGAATATTATTATCCCCAATTTACAAATAAGGACACAGCTTGAGAGATGCCAAAAGGCTTACCTAGCATATATAGCTAAGTAAGTGAAAGAATTGAGACTTGAACCCAGATCTTCTTTCCATCACACCCTAGAGCCTCTTAAGTTGGCCTATCAGAGACATTAGAAATTTTTTTTCCAGGAGAGAAAATGAGGGCCTTGTGACATCCAATGTCATAACATCAATGGTACTCAATAGGGTGTGCTGCAGAAGGATTAGTTTATTGGAGGCATCTGACCTAAGGTCAGGACCAAAAGATAAAGTGCGTGACTTCAGGCCCTTACCTTAGGGTTGGGCCACAAGATCAGGGTTCCCGCCTGCAGCTGCCCCTAAGCCAGATGATCTGGTCCAACAGGACAAAATTATTGTTGTTTTCAGCCTCGTCCAGTGCCCTGCCTCAAAAAGCAACAGATTGTCCAGTGCAGGCCTGGTGCCGAATGTGCTGAGTGTGAGGTTTGAACTAGGGCCAGGAGAGCAGGACTTTCTTTTGGAAACAGGGGCAGAATCAAAAACCTGAAAAGAATAAGAGGAATTTTCCATTCGGAGATGATTCCCTTCTCCCAAGAGAATAGGTAAAGGAGTTGGTGAATTATTTATAAATCAGACAGTTTCTAACCTGGCTAGGTCTTTAAATCAAATCCACAATGAATAAGCAAAACTCAACTGAAGTTTAAGTTTCTAGAAAGACTTTTAAGACCTGCCAGGCAGAAGAAAATGTTAGAACATGCTTTTTTTTCTGACCTAAAATCCCTCCTTCTTAAGTACAGTGACAGCTAATGAAGGGAACCCTGGGTTTGAAATCTGAACACTTGGGTTCAATCCTAGCAGTTAGTTCGTTACTTGTGTGACTTTATGCAGGTCCCTTAATATGTTGGGGGCTCAGTTTTATTATCAGTAAAATGACAGGTTAGTCTTAGAGATTCTTAACTTTTTCTGTGCCAAGGACCCCTTTGACAATCTGGTGGAACCTATGAACCATTTCTCAGAATAATGTTTTTAAATGCATAAAATAAAATACATAGAACTACAAAGGAAATCAATTGCATTGAAATATAGTTGTCAAAATATACATATGTATACATTTTTAAAAAACCAAGTTCATAGACCCCAGGTGAAGGACCCCTGACAGCAATCTCTAGGGTCCATTCTAACACTGAATCTTGTATTCATAAGAATCTGAAAGCATTTCCTCACATAGACTAGAGCCAATGTTAGATATTAAGGTAAATGGATGGGAAGGTGCCTCACTGTTTCACGTGTACCATTTCTAGGTTCGGACCTACTCCCACCACTTCAAACAACGCCTCAGAAAACAAGAAAGCCAGGGTATTTGTTTAGAAGGGTTCTCTATTTTAAGAATGCAAGAGAATATTTGAATGGTTCATTTAGAAAGCACATTCTAAGGAAATTTATGTTTGTGTGTTTTGCTGAGTAAAAATGTTTTCAATTGCCCTCCCTTTTAAACTCTACTGATTTTCAGACAGGCCCTGAACAATTTTTCTCCTTTCTTCTCCCGGCATGAATTGCTTCAAGTGCTTGGTTCGTTAACTATCTGGAGGCAGAAATCAATTGGCTAGCATCTTGCTGGAGCCCTTGATGTCAACAGGAGAAATTCAGGCCAACGGGGTGAGTGAGCCAGCAGCAGGGATGTCATCAGACAATGGGATAATCAGTCACGAGAAGCTATAATTTTGGTGATGACCACAAAGCAGACACCTGCCTGTAGAGCTGTTCGGTTGAGGCAGTGGTGGGGAGCACCTACCTGCCTAGCTTCTTTCAGGGTGCCACCTGGTGACAGTCTGGGATGCTACAAGGATCAGGCCTCCTTTTCCTTGTTCCTTTGGCCACTAATCTCAGTATTATCTGTTTACTCCCACTCCCTTTGCTGAGAAGAAAGAGGAGCTGAGAAGGATCATTCGGTCCATTATGATTACACATTGGGACCAAGATATTGATCCTGGCTGGTCTGAGGAAGAGGAACTGGTCCTGCTGTTAAGGCAGGTAGGTGGGTCAGTGGCTACAGCATTGAGCCTAGAGTCAGGAAGACCTAAGTTCAAATCTGACCTCGGACATTTTCAAGCTATGTGACAAGTCACAACTTCTGCTGCCTCAGTTTCCTCAAATGTAAAAAAAAATGGAGATAATAATAGCACCTACCTCACAGGGTTGTTGTGAATATGGAAATGAAATCCTATTTGTGAAACAGTTAGCACAATCCTGGCACTATGTGGCAAATACTTAAGAATCGCTTGTTACCCTTTCCCCATAGAACCAGGGAGGCAGAGCTGGAGGAGGACTCGGACAGCAAAACTAGAATTATCCCCGGGCAAATAGGGATATCTAGGGAGACTCCTTTGTCCTGAAAGGGGCCACTCCCTCCCCTGGAGGGTGAGTTTCCAGGCTCCCAATCCACACAGTTGACTTGCCTGTGTATGTGAGGGTCAGGCTATCTTTCTAGGTACAACTGTACCAATGGCAGGATTGGCCTTTAAGACACCCTGACTCCTTCATCCCCAGCAGAGTATCCTCTGCCTTGCCACATTCCTTTCACCTCTGGCATCTCCCTGCTTTTGAGCCTCTGTCCACTCCTTGCAATTGAATTTGCCCCAGGCATAGTGTCAGCTAGTCAAGACTTTGCACCATAAAATCCTGGCACCTAATGCCAGGATAGTTTTCTGCAATATTACCTAAGCATGTGAACCTTGAGTTAGGTATACACACATTACTCGGGCATGACCAGGCTGAAAAGGACAGATCTGTTTAGAGAATTCCTGGGGCCCATGTCTTGCAGCTAAGTTTAATGACAAGTTCAAAGAATTCACTTTCTAAATGGCTTATAATTTCTATCTTTAAAAGCCAGGTAAGAAAATAAGTAACTCTAATGATAAATATTAATAATTCAATTCCAAGAATCTTAGCATCTTAGAGCTAAAAGGACCTCAGAAATCAATTCATGCAAAAGTTCTCATTTTATAGATAAGAAAAGGAAGGCCCAAAGAAATTAGGTGAGTTGCCCAAGGTCACACAGATAAATAGTGGCTATACTAGTACAAGAATCTTGGTCCTGAATCCCAGTTCAGGGTGCTTCTGCTGCACCAGGAATTGTAGCATTCTTCTTCGATTGAATGTCAAACAAATAATAATCATAGAACCTTAATAAATACTTGTTGAATTGAATTGTTGTTAAATTACTACAGAGAGTGCAACTCCAATGGGCTTGTCACATTGTTTGAATGCCAAATGTGTTTGCCTAAAAGACTATTTTATGGATAACTCACAGCAAGGCAGGCACTCACATGATGGTCAAAAGAAGTGATATGAGGGCACTCTCAAGGTCTCTCTGAAGAACTTTGGACTCAATTGTAAGCCATGGAGATACTGACAAAAGACCACCCAGCATAGCTTGCCCGCTTCAAAGAAGGTGCTGTCCTCTATGACCAAGCAGAATTGTAGCAGCTCAAAAGAAACGTAAGATGCACAAATTTAGAGACAGCTCCACTCCACATGTTCATATGGGCAAACTATATATTTTTTATTTATTTAGTATTTTATTTTTTCCCCAATTACATGTAAAAAACATTTTTAACACTCATTTTTAAAATTTGAGTTCCAAATTCTCTCCTTTCCTTCCTCCCCACCCCCCTCATTGAGAAAGCTAGTGATTCAATATAGGTTATACATGCATAGTCATGCAAAACATATTTTCATATTAGTCATGTTGCGACAGAAAACATAAACCAAAAAAAAAAGCACCTCAAGAAAAATAAAGTTTAAAAAGTATGCTTCAATCTGTATTCAGATACCATCAGTTCTTTGTCTGGGAATGGATAGCATTTTTCATCATAAGCCCTTCAGAGTTGTCTTGAATGATTGTATTGCTGAGAATAGCTAAGTCATTCACAGCTGATCATCTTATAATATTGCTATTACTTTGTATACAGTACATTTCACTTTACATCAGCTCATGGAAGTCTTTCCAGGTTTTTCTGAGAGCATCCTGCTCATTACCTTTTATAGAACAATGGTATACCATCATATTCACATACCACGATTTGTTCAGTCATTCCTCAATTGATGGGCATCCTTCCAATTTCCAACTTCCTGCCACCAGAAAAAAGCTGCTATAAATATTTTTGTACATATAAGTCCTTTTTCCTTTTTATTCTTTTTTTTTTTATCTCTTTTTGGATACAGACCTAGTAGTGGCACTGCTAGGTCAAAGGGTATGCATGGTTTTATAGCCCTTTGGGTACAGTCTAAATTGCTCTAAAGAATGGTTGAATCAGCTCACAATTCCATCAGCAATGCATTAATGTCCCATTTTTCCTACATCCCCTCCAACATTTGTCATTCTTCTCTGTCCTATTAGCCAATCTAATAGTATGAGGTAGTACCTTAGAATTGTTTCAATTTGCATTCTTCCAATCAATATCGATTTAGAGCAACGTCTCATATGGCTATAGATAGCTTTGATTACTTCATCTGAAAACTGTTCATCTCTTGATCATTTATCAATTGGGAAATGGCTCCTATTTTTATAAATTTGACCCACTTCTCAATATATTTGAGAAATAAGGCCTTTATCAGAGAAACTTGCTTCAAAAATTTTTTCACAGTTACTATTGCTAAATGTATTTCCCTCTATCCCATTTCCCCATCCCATTTATTCTATTCTCTCTCTCCTTTCCTACTGTCTCTCCTCAAAAGCATTTTCTTCTGACTACTTCCTCCCCCAATCTGCCTTCCCTTCTATCACCCCTCCTCCTACTTTTCTGTAGGGTAAGATAGATTTCTATACCCAATTGAGTGTGTATGTTGATCCAATTCTGATGAGATTAAGGTTTACTCACTTCCTCCCTACCTCCCCCATCTTTCCCTCCACCGTAAAGGCTTTTTCTTGCCTCAATTATGTAAGACAATTTACCCCATTTTAACCCTCCCTTTCCCTTTCACCCTGTACATTCCTCCCTCTCATCCCTTAATTTTATTTTTTTAAATATCATCCCTTCATATTCAACTCACAACTGTGCCCTCTATCTATATATATACTCCTTCTAACTTCCCTAATAATGAAAAACTTCTTTTTTGTTTGTTTGTTTTTGGCTAGGCAAGGGGGTTAAGTGACTTGCCCAGGGCCACAGCTAGTAAGTGTTATGTGTCTGAGGCTGGATTTGAACTCAGATCCTCCTGAATCCAGGGCTGGTGCTTTATCTACTGCACCACCTAGCTGCCCCCTACAATAAGAAACTTCTTATGAGTTACAAGTATCTTCTTCCCATGTAGGAATATAAATAGTATAACCTTATTAAATCCCTTATTATTTCCCTTTCCTGTTTATCTTTTTATGCTTCTCTTGAGTGTTGTATTTGAAAGTCAAATTTTTTACTCATCTCTGGTCTTTTCATCAAGAATGCTTAAAAGTGCTCTATTTAATTGAATGTCCATTTTCCCCTGGAAGGATTATACTCAGTTTTGCTGGGTAGGTGATTCTTGATTGTAATCCTAAATCATTTGCCTTCCAGAATATTATATTCCAAGCTCTCGGATCCTTTAATGTAGAAGCTGCTAAATCTCAGGTTATCCTGACTGTGGTTCCATCATACCTGAATTGTTTCTTTCTGGCAGCTTGCGATATTCTCCCCTTGACCTGGGAACTCTGGAATTAGACTATAATATTCCTGGGAGTTTTCGTTTAGGGCCTTCTTTCAGGACCTGATCAGTGGATTCTTTCAATTTCTACTTTGCCTTCTGGTTCTAGACATGTGGACTACTTGTACCCAATCTGTGGTAGAGTCTTCTGACATCATATTGGTCTGATCAGCCACAGTCAGAAACACTGTATCTTGACCCCAATATAATGTCATTTTGGTTCTCTTTGAGAACCAAGGAAAACAACCAACCAACCAAATATTTGCCCTGGAAGGACCTAAGAGGACATCTAATCCAGCCTCCCACCCAAAGCAGGAATCTTCTTACCCAGTAATTACTTTAAAAAATTTCTAAGGTCTTAGATTTTTTAAAACTGGAAGGAGCCTTAGAGATCATCTCATTTAACTCCATTTACAGTTGAGAAAATGGACACCCAGGAAGCTAAGTGACTGGCCCAAAGTCATATAGGTGGTAAGAGGCAGAGCAGGAATTTATACCCAGGTTTTTGACTCCAGATCTGGAGTCTCTCCTTCTTTAATCCTTCATCTTTGAGGCTGATTGTGGTGGTACATACCTGTATTTCCTACTACTGAGGAATCTGAGGCTGGGTGGATTTGCTCGCATTCAAGAGTTCTGAGCTGCTGAAACCACCACCAACGGGATGAGTCCCCAGGACCAGGGAATCATCAGGCTGCCTAAGGAGGAGTGAAGAGACACAGGTTGAAAACAGAGTAGGTCAAAGATCTTGAGCCAATTAGCAGTGGGGTGGGATCTATGAGTGGTCAATGTACTTCTAGCCTGGGAGACCCACTCTCAAAAAAAAAAAACCCAAAAACTTCATTCAGCCCCAGGGGAATCGACCTACTCTGATGACAGCTCTTCAAGTTCTTAAAAACTCAGTTGTTTTTTCTGGCAATGGGAAAATCTAGCAGACTGCAATTCTGTGTTCATTCAGTGACTTTCTATATGCGAATACTATGAAATTCCCATGAAGGTACAAGGAAATGTTCATCATAATGATCTCTTTGGCCAGAGAGCCTGAATCAGCATAACAGAGCACTTTACTCTACCTATGATGAGTGTTTAGAGCCTTTTCTACTTGTCCATTATCAGACAATATTTTTTTTTAACCAGGTAGCTGACAAGAAATATGACCATGGCTAGGTGGAGCTTAAATAAATAAGAAATCCTACATTAATTCAACTAAGAGAATACACTCCTTTTATCCAATCAAAATGGAATCAATTTCCAAATAGGAGGGTGTAGAAGATCCAAGCAACTGCCAACTCTTCCAAGAATTTATGGTGCACGGCTAAAATGTAGTCATGCTACTCAGCAATGTAACTACTTTACCATGAGGCTCACAAAGCTGAGGATCTGGATCAATCAGCCTTTCTAATAGATTGAATGATTTTTAAAAGCTGAACAAGAAAATGAATTGCTCTTGTGAGAGTGTAGGTAGTTTGAATTGGCCTACGAGGGTCAACCTCATGGAAAGTGCTCAAAGTTGCCATTCCGACATCTGAGTAACCAAGCAGAAGCTTTGGGGAAAACTTGCTTCCAATTATGTGTGACTTGTCTTCGAGGGGCATGCACTAGGAGATGACAAAGAGTCCTCTTGTTGGCTTTGGAACTGGAGGGCTTGATGACTCAGTGAATATACAAAAGGGAGTGGCATGCCTGTCTCCATCTTCCTTCACAGTTTCAAATCGGGTTAGTACTATTTTGAGCCAGTTCTTATGAGGAATAGAGAAGGGCTGTTTGCCTCATCCTCACTTTACTCAGGCCTTCATGTGGCCAGGAGCACATGGAAGGTAAAACATGTTTTGCCTAAGCAGACCTCAGTCTGGGTTTGAGCTACCTCTTTTGGGATCCTATCCCAAGATGAACATGTCCAGAATGGGAGGCTATCTGGTGAGTCTGAGAGATGCTGAGATCCTGGATCTCCTTGGCTGGTGGTAGGGGAAGATTTTGCATTGAAAACTTTGGATGCTGAGAAGAGAATTGGCTCAAGCCTGACTTTGTTTTTTTAACTATCAGGCATATACTAGGAGTTGTTTGGATAGTGTGAAGCCGAGGTGACCTGGGAAATGCCTTATTAGCAGACATTCAAACTGTTTTATGCTCTGTTGGAGTTTGGAATTTAGCCTCCCAGAAGATAGAGCAGCCTAAGTTAGGTTATCAAATCCTGTTTTAAGCTTTTTTGTTATTGTTTTTGTCAAGTGGACACTGTGGGTATTTTATTTTTGGTGCTCTTTTTGTGTGTAGGAATAAATTATCTGTCCCATACCCGATTCATGTTGTATATTGAGTACCTTTTTTACTATTCCCCTTTATAGAGAAATTCTAGACATAAACCAATTAGCAAAATTGTCCCCAGAGCACTGGAGACTTAGTGAACAGAAAACTGTGAGAACCTTCTCTCAAAATGTAGGCTCTTCCCCCTAGTAAAGAAGCCTGTCTAACCCATATACTTAGGTCTAGAGAAAAGGGATGCCCAAAATGTAGAGGAATTGGGACCATTCCCTTGGGCTCAGCTTCAGCTACTCATGGTTAGAATAGGATTATTAGTAAAAATAATTCTTAAGCTCATGGACTTTAACAGTTGCTCCCAAGAGACATTCAACTTTTTGGATCTCCTTTACACATTCAAAGATTTCCATTTCCTTGCCTAGTTAGTTGTCCCTAATAAATTTTTGTTAACTAACTCTTAGAAAGTATCTTAAGAAGTTCTTTGCTTACAACAATTTATATGTGACACAGACTGGCATAGTAGATAACAAGCTGGCCTCGGAGGCATGGAAGATGCAGGAGACAAGAAGTCCTGCCTCTCACTCATGCCAGCTTTGTGACCATGGAAAAGTTGCTTTACCTCTGTGTGCCCCAAGCAACTCTCTGAGATCATAAATTACTGACAAGTTGCCCATCTGCAACTATGAAAGGAGTTTTCACACTGGGGATTCCCTAGACTGATGAAATCAGAAATATAGATTCATGATACATAAAAGATCTAACACACCTGAGGAAAAAAATTAATTTCTAAGTCACCAAGAGATAGCATTGTGTAACAGACTCTGGGCGCTGACCTCAGAGAGCCTTGTATTCAGGTCCAGCCCCTGGAATATACTGGCTATGAGGCAATGGGCAAGTCATTTCTCAATGTCCCCAGATGTTTCTTAGATCATAAATTGTAAAGCAAAGAGAGAAAATTCTTCACTAGGAGCTTCCCATGTGGATGAAAAAACTGGTCTAATCCAAAAGAAAAAAAAACAGGAGGAGGAGGGTCTTCAAGAAAGTGCTAGAGCTTTTTCAATGGAGTTTCAATTTCCAGAATCAACATGGTTGACCAATTTTCCTTTGGAGAAAGAGGAATGTCTTTTCGTGGCAGATAGAGTAGAGTGGTGATTGTACAGAAATTGTATTTCCCAGCAAGTCAACCAGGCTTGAATCATTACACACTCTGACCAGGTCAAAACTGGGACAAGGCACTTAGGGCTACCATCCAAGAGATGTCAATTTGATGAGTCATGGACCTCACATCACAAAATACTCACATACTTGGGTGAATGTAATACTAGGCTCATGTCATTCGATTAAGAAAAACAAGCGTCAAGGAGTTTGGTAACCGGAAGTCATGGAGAATGGCTAAGTACACAGCTGGGTTTACTCTCCCCTAAATTCACACAGGAAAGGGATTAGGCCCTGAAACACCTCCTTTGAAAATCCCAAGCCTAAACTCTCTTCTCCAGCCTTTGGGCAGAACCCTGCCCTGTCCCCACAGTCCCAAACAGCTACAAAGAAGATTGGGCCAAAAAGGGGAGGGGATGAAAGGAAGGGTCCTTAAGGCTAACATAGAGCAAAGGCTTCTGGGAAGCTAGGTTTTCACAAGAAGTAGAGAACAATGTAACTGGAACGTGAAAGCTTTTTCCAGTGCTAGAATTGAGTTAGAAAAGTAGAGATGAAGTTTCTTCTGGAACTCTCTGAGCTCTAAGAATTCTCCACTATCTACTCCTAGGCCTCTCTGAGTCCTCTCCACACCAGCCCCATCTTCAGGGAAGTAATGAAGGTTTTTTAGTCCTCCTTGTAGCTGTCACATGGTTTAAAAAAGACAACAAACAAACTAGAGTTTCCACTTTGTTGTCCTTCTTATATTGGTGGCCTGAATAAGCTCTAAGGAACCTTATCCCAGCTCCCTCACAAGCGAGTCCTAATGGGGAGGGGAAGGGAAGGGTTTCCAGAGTAAAGATACTTCTCCCTGCTGGGGCACTAGGAACATCTCGGAGGAGTTGGGGGTCCTTCTATAATGGTTTAAAAGAGGGGTTCTCAATTTTTTTAGGTCAAGAAGACTTTGTCAGTCTGGTGAAGCCTACAGACTCCTCAGAGTAATGTTTTAAAATGCATAAAAAAAAGACACAGAGGATTATAAAGGAAATCATTTCTACAGAAATGTAGTTATGAAGATTTAAAACAAAACAAAACAAAACAAAACAGGAGGGCCCAGAGGAGCCTAGGTTTAGATAGTAGAGAATTCTCAGTCAAATCAGCTCAGAGAGTTCCAGAAGAAACTTCATCCTGGTCTAAAACATATTATTGAAATTGATTGCTTCATTGATTGAGCATCTTATCTAGTGACTTACTCCATCACCCCACCTTTACATGCATCTGTCTCATCTTTAGAAATCCTCTGTCTTCACTTGTATTCTTATAACTTTGAGTTAATTCTCTATATATTTTAGAAATGAGGCACTTGTCAGAGACACTGGTTGTAAAAATTCTTTCCCTATTTTCTACTTTCCTTCTAATCTTGGTTGCATCGGCTTTGTTTGTACAAAAACTTTTCAATTTAATGTAATCAAAACCATTCATTTTGCATTTCATAATATTCTCTATCTCGTTTGGTCTTCTGTTCTCCATAAATCTAATAGGTAAACTATTCCTCGCTGTCCCAGTTCCCTTATAGTATCAGCCTTTATATCAATGACTAACATTGAGAGACTTAGCCTTTCTAAGCAATGCAAGGATCTAAGACATCTCCAAAGCTCTCATGATGGAAAATGCTATCCACATTCAGAGAAAGAACTATGGAGTTTAAATGCATATCAAAGCATACTATTTGCTATTTTTTTCTTCTGTTTTGTTTTGTTTCCTCTTTCTGATGGTTCCTCCTATTGGTTCTAATTCTTCCTTACGACATCACTAATGTGAAAATATGTTTAATAGGAATGTAAAAAAAAGAAATCCTGTGTCTTGGAAGTCTTGTAAATGCAGCATTAACTACAGTAAAGGGTATAAGATAGATGAGATGTCTCCATGTATAATACAAAGCAATCTATAAAGAGTGGTACAAAGGATCTGGAGAAATTCTGGGGAGATCTAAGAAAGCTTCATGGAAGAAGTGGTATTTACATCAAGATTTTTTTTTTTTAGTGAGGCCATTGGGGTTAAGCGACTTGCCCAGAGTCACACAGCTAGGAAGTATTTATTATGTGTCTGAGGCCAGAATGGAACTCAGGTCCTCCTGACTCCAGGGCCAGTGCTGTATCCACTAGCTGCCCTCCTACATTAAGCTTTAAAAGATGTCCCAGCTCTGTTCAGCTGATCTTAGGACATCCGGGTTTTTCACAGAAGAAGCAGACCATGAGGGAAGGCATAAGGTCTAACTTGATACATCAAGGGTCATGATAAGGGGTATAAGGAATATACCTGGATCCTAGTGAAACAAAGGTACAACCAGGTCACAGATGTAAGAGAAAATAGGTTACATACTCAGCTCAGAAAGCAAGAGAGGCCTGGACAAGCCTTTAGTAAGGTGTTTTATAGACCGGTGAGAGAAGGAAAGGGATTGATGAGCTATGGCCCAATTTATTCCAGCCTCACAATTCCTCTTGGTGTAATGCAAGAATACTTGGGTGCCATCCTACAGACCTAGGCAGCCTAGCAAAGCAAATGAAGGCCAGGGATTTTCTAGAGAGGGCATGAGTCTCTTGGATGAGTCTGGTTTCCCTCCTCTGGTGGCACTGGGAGGAAACCCACAAGTTAACACATTTGTTGTATGGGTCAAGATCATGTTTCTAGCTTTTAAAGACCCAGACATAGATGATTCCAGAAAATGGGAGGGGTAGAGGGAGCAGGAAGGAGCATGTTGAAGTCAGGGAGAGCCTGTCACATGCCAAGCTAGGCCCAGAGATTTTCTAAACTACTACAAATCATTAGGTCTTATTTATATTTGTAGGTTCCTTGATGCATAGCACTTTGTTCTGAACATCAGTTTGTTGAAAAGAATTGATTAGGTAGGATTTCGTTAGGATGAGATTAGAGGACATTCCAGGTACAGGGACCTTTATAAATGGCAGTCTTAATCAACAGACATTTGGGGAGAGATAAAGACTTGTGATTTCATCTGTATAGGCAACCTCTAGTATGTAAACTCCCTACACCGATGGGACTCATCTGCCTTAGAGCAGGGCTCCCTGCACTTTCTTGTGTTGTGTTATTGCTTTGATCCGGCAGGCTGGTGAAGCCCATAGACTCCTCAGAATAATAGCTCTAAATGCACAAAATACGTAGGCTTACCAAAGAAGCCAATTACATTTATGTTATGCCAGGCATGATGATACCCACCTGCAAACCCTGCTATCCAAAGAGGCTAAAACGGGAGTTCTCAGTGCAGCGGGCTAAGACTGTCACGTGTCCCCACTAAGTTTGGCCTTAATATGGCCACGTACATGTCAGGGTGAGGTAGGAACCAAGTTTCTTAAGGAGGGGTAAATCAGCCCAGTCTGAATCAGAGCAGGTCAAAGCTACCCTGCCCATCAGAGTGGTGTCAGGACTGTGAGTAGAGAGAAGACTCAGTTGTTTGTTTTTTAAGAGAGTTATAAAAAATGTTTTTTCTTTTTTGGTGAGTCAGTCAGGGTTAAGTGACTTGCCCAGGATCACATAGCTAGTTAAGTGTCAAGTGTCTGAAGTCATGTTTGAAATCAGGTCCTCCTGACTCCAAGGCCAGAGCTCTAGCCACTGTACCACCTAGCTGCCCCTAAAAAAATTTTTTTTAAGCAGGGTTATGGACTCCAGATCAGGAACTCCTGTTAGAAAGTTTGCCTTAGGCATTGAAAGGTTGAGACTTGGCCATAGTCACACAGCTAGTATGCGCCAGAGCCAGACTTAAGCTCAGGTCTTCCTGACTCCAAGGCTAGCCCTTTGTCTCCTCCCTCCACCCCCAGCCCCTCCATTGTAGTGATCAGTGATATGATTCTTTGAGAAATGTGGGCCCTCTGGGAGACTGGAAAGAGCTTTGAAGGAACTCTGGAGCATTCCAATCTGGTCTGACGCTACCCAGTAACTCTGGGCAACTCGGCTAATCTCTTTTTTGGCCCCAGGGTCTTCATCTTTTAAAAAATAGGGGCTTCTGATGTTCCTTCCAGCTCTAGACCTGCCACCCACATGATCCAAATAAAGAAGCCCCTCTAAGAAAAATTATTCCAAATTCAGGGGACCCCAAGAAAGCCTGAGTTCTTAACTTGATTTGGAGCAGCTTAAGCAATGACAGCTATACCTCGGGTTGGTGTAGTGCTTTAAGATACACAGATTGTTTTCCTCCTGATAGCTCGGTGAGGTTGAGAAGTCAAGTTTCTTTACTGGGCTCTTCTCATCCAGGTCTGAGTTCACTGCATCCAAAGCACGTAAGCTACAACCAATCCCCTGTAATAGGCTTGACAATAGGATAGAGAATTTTAAACATAGTATTTTTCAGTAGATTGCTCGGAATTCAAAAGGGGAAGTGATTTAGCTTTCCCTGAGGGTCAGAAGCAGTTCTATGCTGAATTTCTACTCACCCATCCTCGCAACACTTTCAACCCCTTTCCCTGCCTGAGCCTGCCCTCCAGACACTTCTAACTTCCTGCATTGTCTGAGCCTGTCCTCCAGACACATTTCACAGGCGTTTAGAAGCAACCTGGTGGAAGGCCCAGCTCTGACATATTTCAGTCACTGAGCAAACAGACTCTCACAGACCCTCCCTCCAGCCCGGTCCGATGAAAACAGGGTTCTCTGTGTCATGGCTCTTAGAAAAGGCCTGACTATCATAGATCTTGCTCAGTGCAAGTTTAGAACAAAGGGCATTAAAACGCCACTCCCCAAATAAATACAAAGCTTATTTATGTGTCTAATAGTTAACACGGGAGGCAAATGCCACAGGTCACATGGGTTAACACAGAAAGAAAACAAATGTAATCACGCCATTAATCATTGACTTGAAATCTTAACCCTGAGATGGAAACAATCCTCAGCCTGGCTCTAGAAGAGAGTAATAAAAAGAGAGTGGCCCCAGATTTAGCTCCCCAATAGCTTTTAATCTGAGAAGATGGCAGGGGCTATGGATTAAGGGTAGGCAATTAAACTCCATTGACTAAATGAAGCCAGTGACCCAATTTATTTCCCTAAAACCTCATATTCGATATGGCCATAAATTGCAATTGAATAGAGGGAAAACAGCCGAGATATAACAACTACCTAGAAAGTTCACAGTGGTTCACATTTAACCCGACAGGCCAAGACAGGGAGGCTGGGAGTTGCTAAAGAATCATATTACCTTTCCCTCCGTTTGGACCTCAGGATTTCATTCTCCTGAGGATGTGGCTGGCTGCAGGAATATCCCTGCATGATTGATTTATGAGTTCCATTAGTCACTCACAACCCAACTGGGTGAGTACAAGTGAGACGGAGTATTTGCTTCAAATCTTGCATGGGCCCTAAGCTCAAGGCTGACCATGTAACCCTCTAGGGGTTTTTTATTGAAAAATGAAACCCAGAGAGAGCTTACCAAAAGCACCTCCATGTGAGGCATTTCTCAAAACCACAAATCACCTTCTTCCCAACGGTTAAGAACTAGGGAGTAAGGTTGTTAAAAAAAGGAATAGGACTCTAACTGACTTGAGTAGGCACTCAATATATATAGGTAAACTTTCAAAATTACGGTGGGAACAGTCTTAATCGCTTATGTAAGTTACCTCCAACTCTTCATAGGGTCGTCCCACTTTTTTTCCCTTGAGAAAAAGCCCTTCTGCCTCAATATTTTCAACAAATGGATCTTGAATGTATATATAGTCTATAGGGCATAGTCTACCTTTTCTTGATAAATATTCCATATGCTTCTGAAATCACTGACACCCTATCCTTCTACCACAAAACAACATTTTTCCTTTCCTTCTACAACTTCTCACCCTTCCCCACCTCTCCAAACCTGATGAAAGCCTTCATGTTGTACAAGGCCTACCTACCTCAGGGCCTATTTTCTCTTTTTTCTTCTTTTTAAAAATAATATTTTATTTTTTCCCAATTACATGTAAAGACAATTTTTAACATTCTTTTTGTTGTTGTTGTTGAGTGACTTGCCCAGGGTCATACAGCTACTAAGTATCTGAGGTCATATTTGAACTCAGGTCCTCCTGACTCCAAGGCTGGTGCTCTACCACCCAGTTGTCAGGGCCTATTTTCTCCAGGAAGCTTCCCAAGATTCTTTCCAATCAGAAGTTTACATACCTTCACCATGCAATGTGGCCCAAAGCAGTGATGTCAACCTCAAATAGAAATGAAGACCACTAATCCATAAATAAGATTACTAATGGAGCACACATTGACTTGATTTTAAAATCTAATATTATCTACGTTTTGTTGTATTTTTATTCATTTTGTTAAATATTTCTCCATTATTTTTTAATCTGATTCAGCAACACTCAGGAGTATTGAGGGTTGCATGGGGTCTGCAGGCCACATATCTGACAGCTCTGGTCTAAAGTTTAGAGTGCTAGATGTGGAGTCAAGAAGACCTGGGTTCAAATCCTTCCCCAGACACTTTTTAGACATGTGATCCTGGAAAGTCCTATCACCTCTCACCCTCAGGTTCCTCATCTAGAAAATGAGGCTACACATGATGACCTTTAAAATGAGTGCTGACCTTTAAGGTTCCCTCCCTTTGGGCTCTAATCCTCTGATTCCTCCTTGAATGATTCATAGCATCTTGTTTATAGAACCCCTCCCATTCACTTATCTGTCTTATGTAACATGTGTCCCCATCCTATGAGTCCTGGTAGATTGTAGTCTTCTTGAGAGCAAGGAGTGTTCTTACTCTATATCTATCTTGGGATGTCCCTTAGGATCACAGATCACCTTCCTCTGAGGCCATCAGACTAACCTTCACTTTATATGTGAAGAAACCAAGACCCAAATTGTGAGCTATCCCAAGGTCACACACCAGGTAAGGTCTGAACCCAGATCCTTTGACTCTATAGCCAGTGCTCTTTACACCATACAATGCCACCTGCCATCATTTTGTACCTTTGTTTCCCTAGCTCTTAGCCTAGGACCTGACACTTGGTAGGTACTTAATAAATGCTTATTACATTTAACTTTGAATTGTAAGCTTTTTGAGGGCAAGACTTGTGTCTTATTGTTTGCATACTCTACTCTTCACACCCACCCCCCCAACCCTAACACAGGTCCTCTGTCTAGTATGAAATCAACACAGATTACCTTGATTGCTCTTTCTAGGTCCCTAAGGAACTTATTTCAATGCTATCAGTTATCTGTGATTTCATCATGGTAGGTACTCCCTTCACCAATGCAAATAGGAAGCCATAGCACACAATCTTCTAGTGTTGCTGTGACCAAAGCAACATATCCCCTGGTGGACATCTTTTTGGTGATAAACCTCTTCCCACATAGCTAGGCTAGCAAACACAGAGTCCATTACTGGGCATCAAGACTTTGAAGCCTTTTTGGCTTGACTGAACATACCAGAGCCTGAGTTCCACCAGCACAGCCCTTAAGACCCCAGGCTCACCTTCATGCCAGGATGAGGCATTAGAAGCCAGGAGTGCAGATGGTTGAGCAGAGGGAGCCTCACATGGCCTGATGAAACTCCAGGAAGTCTGTTTCTTCACTCTAGCCTCACCTTGCCCTGCCCTTTAGCTTGGTTTGTTTGTTTTTGTAATCCAAATCATCAGCAAATACATTTTATAAGGTTATTTCTCTTATCAATGTCCAAGGCTGGACCTGGGGAAAACTTTTAAGCCACTCTGGATTTATCCAGCCAAACTCCTTGGCATAGAAGAAACAAACCCCTCAAAAAAGAGCAAAGTTTCAATAACAAAGACCACAATAAGCCACATATATATGCTTGTGTAACAGAGAAAATGTGAGTGAAAAGTTGGGTGCTTTTGACCCCACAAAATGGTCATTTTCTCTGCAGGCTCCTCAAGGGCACAGAGCATTTCTTTTATCAATATCTGTGTGCAAAGCCTTGGATGGTCAATGTATAGAATAGGCAATCTTTGTTTAAAAAAAAATGATGATGGACAGGTAAGAAAATCTAATCATTAGCCAGGGGGCAGCAGTGTGGATTTTAGAAGCCTGTTATCTCAGGAATTTCTCCAGATTGGCAAGAGAGAGAAATCCTTAGGGATAGGTGCTGTCTAAAATAGCCTAAAACTGAAGGTGGGAAGTGATTTGCTGGAAAAGTGTGCACAGGAGTGAACTGAGCTGAACCAGGAGCACAATTTAGGGGGTGAAGTAAAGGAAGACAACTCTGAAAGATTTCCAGACCCTGCAGGGACCATTCTAGACTTCTGAAGACTTCAGGTTGAGATGTAGAATTGCAAACATATTTTCAGAGATGGCTGGTGTGTTCATTTGTTTTACCCCAATTATAATAATAATAATAAATAATGTTTATATAGCACTTACTATGTGCTAAACACCATGTTAAATCCTTTACAATTATAATTCCATTAGGTCCTCAGAACAACCCTGGGAGGTAGATGTTATTATTATCCCCACTTCTCAGATGTCAATGATTACTTGTTCCTTATAAACAGAGAAGAGAGGAGAATGAGTTAGTGAGGACTGATAGAGTTACAAAAAAGAGAAAGAAAGTAGCATCAACAACTTTTTAAAATACACAAAAGAAAGCTAAAGGAGGTTCAGAAGGGGGACACAGGGCAATTTTGTTTCTATTTTGTTAAATTTAAAGTATTCCTTAAAAAAAAACCTCTAACAGAAGTTTACATTATCATATACCATTCTCTTTGGTATTCTTTGTAAATAGAAATTTTAAATCTGTTGGTAATTGTTAAATTCTTAAGAAAAAAATTGTTTTAAGTGTTCAAAAAACTTGGCTTCTAGACTTGTTTCTGACAGATTGAGTGGATTTGGGCAAGCCCCATCAAATCTCTGGGTCTCAGTTTCCTCATCTGTCAAATGAAGATAATAGAATCATAAGATTTAAGGGCTGGAGAGGCCTTCAAGGTCACATAGTCCATAAAGATGAGGAAATTAAGGCTAAGAAGGTGGAAGTCACTTGCCCAAGGTCACACTGGCTATGAGTGGCAAAGCTTCTCTGACTTCGTCTCCATATACCACGGTTATCTTATTAATACCTGCCCCTATCTACCTCACAGAATTATTTACCAGAAGAGAGACCAGCAATGTTTCCAACATAGTTGGAAACAGAAGCCCTGGGTCTAAATCAAGGATTTGGCATTTACTAGCTGTGTGGCCCTGGGCAAGTCACACTAACCTTTCTGACCTGCAGTTTCCTCATTCTTAAAATTGGGATCTTTTACTTCCACTGCCTAGTACCAGGATTGTTGTGAGGGAAGGGCTGTGCGAATTTAAACTTCTAAATACATTTGAGCTGTTACCATATAGAGGAAAATATTCTGAAAAAGTTCAAAGTCCTCATGAAAGAACCCAAAAGGCACCCACCAATAGAGGTTTCCCCAAGTTGCTCTTGGCTACCATTCAAGGATCACAAATTTAGAGGTAGAAGGAAACTTTGTAGTTATAATGTCAAATCCCTTCATTTTACAAATGGAGATACTGAGGTCCAAGGAAGAGGAGTAAATAGAGTGTTGGGCTTGCAGTCAAG